CATATGAATCCTCCGCGCCACATAGCAAAATTTGAACATCAACAGTCAACAACCAAGTGATTCCCATAATATTGGCCAACCCCTCCCCCCTCCCCCCCAAACACAATGCTCCTTTCTAAAATGCACACTCTTCTCAGGTACTAGCAAAAAGTGCCAGCATCTTCTAAACATATGAAACCATTCATGCTGTCTAGAACCCGTGACCTTCAATCAAAACGGAACTACAACCTTGTACATGCAAACCTCAATCACACACGTCGCACCGCATCTATCATGACATCATATGATAACAAGAGAACCCCATTATCAACTCTGAATAACAAATAGGATACACACTTCATCAGTCAGAAACCTTCCACTTGACCCCATCCAAGAGAAAAAATTATGACACACGGCATACTCCCCATACCTGTAAAAGACATCCATCTCAAGCCATAGCTGACACCATCAAGAACTCTTCGAAACCTATTTTTACATAACCGAGCCATCAGAACTGAATTTCTCTAACTCAACCAAGTCAAGCAGTTTGCCAGAGAGCATTGCCACAAAACACCTATAAAGCTTTGGTACACCAAAGAACAAAAAGAACCGATCACTTCTATTACTATGTTGATCCAACTCATTACCAAGCTGACCTATTTCTTCGGATTTCTCTCGACTTGCCTTCAAGTTACCACTCCTCCTTGCCTGTAAACTATGATCCTTATTCTGAAGCTTACCCCAAGAAATCGTAGCATAAAACCACATCATCTTAAGACCCATAAGCCATCGTATCCCCTCTTAGACACCCAATCATACCGCAACGAAGATACCCACTCTAAAGAGACCTTTTGTGAATAAAAGTTATTTCTTTAACCTCTCTGATAGTGAAATCTAGAACCACTAATGATACAGAAATATTGCAAGTATCGACACCTTTCAATGCAAATCTCATATCTTAGCCATTTACAAAAATTGGGGAAATCCTCAAGTACCACATATGAATCTCGCACCCTTTAGAATCTTTTCGAGAGTCATCCACTCTGCTCTGATCCCTAATGTACCGCCAGAATGAGCCGAACATCTTGTGCTCCATTAGCACAAAAATACCAAAAGAAGTAACCCCACTTTTATACAACCGAGTGAATCTTTTTTTCTTGCACACTACATCCACCACGAATAACAAACTCGAATCATTTGGTTTGTGCTCAAGTAACACATATGAATCTCGAACTCATTAGAAACTTCTCGAGCATCATCCACTCTGCTCTGATTCCCAATGCACTGCCAGAACCAGCCGAACGGCTTGTGCTCCATTAGCACACAAACATCGAAAGAAGTAACCCTACCTTTATGCAACCGACAAATTTCTTGCTCAAGTCATCCTCGAAATCAACCTCTTCAAGTCATAACTGATCCACAAGTATTCCTCAGATCAAAACTAATATAACACATGACCATGCAATATGATCATCGATAGCAGGCTCCCTTACTTGGCTAGAAGCCATTGTACACATCATCTGATAACTACCTCACTCATCTTTTATAACTTCCATGATCTTGCACTATTTATTGAGTTGGATTCTTTATAAGCTCATGTAGCACAATCATAAAATACCTCAAATCTTATGCCAAACGCATAATCACCCTCGTGATAGTCGTGCAAACTCCCCCAACCAATCCGAACTCTAAATATAGCACATAAATATCCCACCGGGTAGAAGGAAAACTTTTCATAGAAACTTCATAGGGATCACCCAACCTCAAAACCTCCCACAGGAGATAACCTACCTGTTTAGCCTCAAATTGGCATCTCTTTACGCCCCACCATGGTCACAACCACAATGCGTTCGCTAAATCCTCTAGAGTCTGAACTCGTCAACACGACATAAGAATCTACTTTACTCCACAAACGTACAACTGAAAGATCCCTCAACACAGTCGAAGCTCGAGACTGTACAACATATCAAGACAGAAATCAAGCGTCCATAGTCCTTTCACATCCCAAGAAAAATTCTTCTCATCACATCTCAACTATCTATGCACATCTCGTAGTCACATAATACTTATCATATAGCTACGCAACCACACACTGAGCCATCAATTCTACTCCTAGGGACACTACCGAACATATAAGTCCAAAAGCATATACTCACACAACTGAAACTGGTGAGCCCAAGCTGCGGTCTGAACCTAGCCTCAAGTCCTCCAGACTCGCCTATCTCCACAACATAGAGAACATATCTCGCACCTCATTCATGACATCACAAGTCATCGATGCACAACGTATACTGAGCACTCACATAACATATAAGTGGGTGGAAGAAAATCAAAGATATGCGCTTCAAGTTGAATCAATACCGCAAGATAAAGAAAAAAGGATAGGAAGCTTCATAGATTCCCTATAGCCTCTCGAAAATAAGTATGGACGTCATCATTCCGATCCGCAAGACTCTACTAGTCACTTTCTCATGACTCGTAGAACATATGAATCTAGAGCTCTGATATCAACTTGTCACGACCCAAAATTCACCTAGTCATTATGCCACCAACCCAACCCGCTAGGTAAGCCAAAAAACAGTTGCACAATTCTAATGAAGATAATAAGTAGTCAATAAGTGAAATAACTAAATTTCCATACACTATCCAAGGATTGATATTATAAGTCATGACCACTAAGATTTAGATTTATACAGTTGTTATGAAAATAAATACAACATCTGTTTGAAATATACATAAACAGAAAGCAGGTACATATTAAGTGCCAGCTCTGGTGATCCACGGCATCTCAGCTCCAAGCACACAAGGTACAGAAGTGGTAATATAAGTACAACCGACCCTATATACTCAGCAGGCTGCTTGCCAAAAATCACAACCTGCACAGCATTTTCACGTGCCAAAAATCACAACCTGCACGACATGTTCACATTCCAAAAATCACAATTCGCACAGCGCGTTCACGTGCCACAAGTCCAATCCATATCACACAGAAAGCAGATATACAATATTGCATGTATATGATCAATGAATATCAAATTTCATACTCCTGGACTGGTATAAGTGACATGTTAAAGTGTATGCATATGCAAAGTGTACTATCATAGCTCAAGTCAGGCAATTACATCACGAAAATAGAAATTATCATATTCAATTAGGATATTAACCTCTATGTAACATCAAACATGGTTCAAATAGCTCCCAAAGGGGTATAAAATATAAGAACCATCATAGTATGAAGCTTAACAATCAATTCAAGGCATATCATAGCCTAAGAACTATAGCAAGTAAATAATACCTCGGTGCATGTACATGAGCTCAACCCCATACATATGTGTTACCCGTAGTATGTAGCTACCACAAATAACTTAGGAATCTAGTTCCTCAACGAAGTTTAGGTAAGATACTTACCTCAAACGAGCCAAAACCATAATCCGAAAATTCTTTCTCGTGCAAAATGATCTCTGAATAATCCATGTATTTGGATCACAATGTGTAGAAATCACTTATCTCAAGATTGATAATGAAAATGGCTCATCCAAATCGCCTAAAATCGCCCAAGCAAGAGAGAAATGAGTTGAAAATATGAAAATCCCAACCTTGCTAACATTAAATCTGCTCAGGCGTCCTTCTACGCGATTGCGAAAACAACTTCACGATCGCGAAGACCAACCAGTCATACCCATGAATCCTCCTTCGCGCATGTGGAAAATTCCACGCGATCGCGAACCACTGCCTGAACAGCCTACCAAATGCGAGCCTAGCTCCACGAACGTGAAGGCCAAACTTTCAAACCTACACCTTACGAGATAGCAAACAGATCCTTACGATTGTTAAGAGCAGCCTTTCCGAGCCCAGGCCACCCCACTAACACTATGCGTTCACGACCCTTACCACGCGAACGCAATGAACATTAAGACCAAGAGTCGCGATCGCGAGCCACCATATGTGATCGCGAAGAACTAATTCACCCAGCTCCCAAACGACACTATGAGATCACAAGCCTTCTTTCGCAATCGCGAAGAACACCTCAAACACCAGAAACCAGCAATTACAAGGCAAGATGAAATGGTATGAAATCACCCCGAATCACACTTGAGGCCCCCGAGACCCCGTACAACCATACCAACTAGTTCCAACACCTTATCCAAACTTATCCAAAAGTTCAAAATGCCACAAATAATATCAAAAATACGAATTGACGATTAAAATCCTTCTTTCAATTTTTAAACATTCAGACTTCAACGAACGCATCCGAATCACAGTTAAACGTTCTAAAATGATGCCAAATTTTACGTACAAGTCATAATTCACAATACAAACCTATTCCAAGGCTCAAAATTCTAAATGGACATCGATAACACCAAAGTCCACCTCAAATCAAACTCAGAAAATTTTAAAACCTTCAAAGTGCCAACTTTCCACATTAAGCGCTGAAACACTCCTGGGCCATCCGAAACTCAACCCAAAAGTCAAGCCTTGGTCAACTCTTTCAACTTAAAGCTTCCGAATTAAGAATTTTCCTTCCAAATCAACTCTAAACTCCTCGATAATTGAAACCAGCCACACGTGCATGTCACAATACATAAAGTAAAGCTACTCAAGGACTCAAATCATCGAACGATGCGCTAGAACTCAAAACAACTGGTCGGGTTATTACAGAATAAGAGAAGAATAAAAAACAATAAAAAATGAGAAAAAATGGATGTAGAAACAAAAAAGAGAAACGTTAAATTAATGAGGGATAATATGGAAAATATAAATTTTTTGAAATGATACTTTGTCTTGAAATAACTAATTTTCTGCTTATGCTTCTTGGGAGAAACTAAAATTTGTATCTTCTTTCCAAAAGCAGAAAAATAGCTTCAGCTTGTACTCAAAAACGCTTCTCTGCCTTGGCCAAACACCTTAAATTTTCTAAAGAACATGTACTTTTGGTCTCTTAGAAACTTGGTCAAACAAGCTTTTGTAGTGACTATTGAGTTGCAATTCTAGAACCTTTTTTAGAGGAAAGAAAAAGAAAAAAAAAGAACAATGCCGAAACAAGGAAAGTGAAACACAATACAAAGCCTAGAGGATATTTCGGCTAAGGCCTTAGAAGCTTCTCCTACCTTTCCAGCACTTGAGTTGGTCTATCATGGAGTTCCATCATGAATACTTCTTTGCTCTAATTCTGAAGGAGGAGTAGCTGTAACTTGTCCATCTTTCAACTTAAGAAGAACTAGTGGCGACTTAATAGTAGTGCTAGTGTTGCTGCAACCGATGGAATTGAACGGTATGTTTATTTATCTCTAACTCAAAATTATGAAATTAATATAGGTGTATTGTATCTTAGTATATATTATGGTTGTCAATATTATATCTTGCAGATAGTATATATCATAGCCACCATAATTAGGGATTAAACGATTATTCTCGTCTTGGATTTGAAAACAATGTTATGATGAAATTAATCTCATGATACTTGGCTACAACCCTGTTTTATCTCCTGCGTTAATTTCGTTAACTATGAAATTAGAAATTTAAATAGACAGACTTGTTGGTAGTTGTTCAACGGCGGCAGCAAATTGAAAATTTCCTGATTTCTTTGGGCAAAGGTACTTGCCGACGGCGACGGGCTAGAACACAAGTTATCTGACAACTCCTTTGTTTGTGAATATTTCTGAGAAGCAAACACAAACAAATATAATACTATATAGTAAATAAATTGGAAAACATTTTTGGCTTGACGTGGCAAGTGTAGTCGATGCGGCTTAATGTTACCGGGTTTGCCAGAACCAACTACTTTTGATGTATAACATAAATTTAAATGTAAAAGTTCATTAAAATTACAACAAATAGTAGAGATGAATCCAAAACTTTACTAATATAATGGGTTCAATCCTAAGAATCTTAAAGATTGAACCCCTAGAGCTTAAATCTTAGATCTGACTCTGGTGGCCGATGAAGAGTTTTGTATTTGAGAGATGTTCTTTCCTTTTGTGGCTAGTTTTGAGCTTAGGGTCTTGATGTTGCTTTTTTTGGTTTAATAGCTACTTAGCTTTTTGTAATTTTGCTCAGACGATGGAATCAAAAATAAATATAACACTAAAGGGTTGAGTCCCCAAAGTCAAATACACGTGATGCAAACAAACGTATCTACTAGGGATCAGGCATGAGGTTATGTATCTACTAGGGATCCTCTAGTGGCCGATGAAGAGTTTTGTATTTGAGAGATGTTCTTTCCTCTTCTTTTTGGATTATAACTTTTAAGGTCAAGACTAATTCAACTTCTTCTAACAGATAGTAACAGATGTATTTTGATTACGTAATCTGCTCCTTCAATCTACGTCATATAAATTAAAACGGAGGATGGGATAAATGACTTGACTCCTCGGTATCTGAGGGAGAGACAACTTCTCCTTTTCCACCAAGTACTTGGATAAGTGATCATCGATTACTATGATGGATTAATTAGGTTGTATATTTTTTTTTCAACGTTAATTAGGTTAGATTGATTAAAGTCTACTAATTACATAAATATATCCAAGATTCTTAATGAATGCTTGGGTTACTGAGTGTTTTTACGTTCTAATTAAATATGTATATTCGAATATATTGATTCTTCTATTACTCTCTTCGTTCAACTTTTCTTTGTCCGCTATATTAAAAATATATTTTCAATTTTACTTGTCCAATTTAGGAAATAAGAGAAATATAAATTATTTTTCTTGATTTACTATTATCATTAGCTACTTATTCTCCAAATTATATCTATACTTTTTGAAATTAAATGCTATCATTATTATTGAAAAAATTGTAAAATATATAATAAAAGTGGACAACTAAAGATGAATGGAGGGAGTACTACTTAACTAATCCAAGGAGTAATTAGTTCTGTGTGTACGGTGACTCTTGATTGATAAATGAAGAGACACTTTGAAAATTATAAATACGAAGAGACCTCTTGGTTTGCTATGTATTTTAAGAGGCTAATTAACATTACAGAATCAGCATGACTCAAGGTATACAACTCTCCTTTTTTATTTTTATTTTCTTTCTCTTTTCTTTTGGTTTATAAGTTTTAAGCTGAAGTCTACTTCAACTTCTTCTAACAGATAGTAAAAGAGTTGCGGTTGCATGGGACATAGAAGACCGAATCAGTTATCTGCCAAGAAATGTTGTAGATCATATTCTTGAATCCCTGCCTATTCAAGATGCAGCAAGAACTAGCATTCTATCAAAAAACTGGAGATATATTTGGGCCATGCTTCCAAATTTGGTGCTGAATAAGCTCTTCTGCAACAAATTAGCAGCAAGATCTCAATATGTCTTCAAAGAAACTATAGATAAGATTCTCTTACAGCATCTTGGAGATGTTGTGACCTTTGATCTCGATGTCTCAGGAGTACAGTTGTCTCTGTGTCCTGATATTGGTAGATGGATACTTTATGCCACCAGAAATGGTGTCAAAAAGCTAACCCTTAACATGTCAAATAACAGTACTTATAAACTACCTTCATATATATTTAATTGTCCAACACTGACACGTTTGCAACTCTTCAACTTTGTCTTCAAACCACCAACTACTTTTCTTGGCTTTTCGAATCTTGTGACACTTTGTCTTGAAGAAATAACCTTTGTGCCGACTACAGAGTTTTGTGTTATCAACGCACCACTTCTTGTCCGTCTGACCTTGATGTACTGTAACGGTACTAAATACTTGAACATTGGTTCATCACGGTTGAATACCTTGGTTGTTATTGAGAATCACTATAATGTTGAGCTAAGTTTTTTTATGAAGTGCAAAAACTTGACAGCTTTATACCTTCTGTCTAATAATCCAATATCTGTTGAAAGATCAAAATTGGAAAAGCTTCTTCTTAGCTTGCCTATACTTAAGGTGCTTGGTTTTAGTGCACCTTTCCTTGTGGTAAGAGTCTGAGGTGTTGTTTTACTTAAGGTGCTTATCCGTATTCATGTGATTCTTATTTTTGTATTTGCTTCAAAGCTTTTGAGTGCAGGTGCAGTTCCACAAGGGCTTCCTTTCACACTCAACTGCTTGTGGCATATAAAGTTAGGTGTAAACTTCGGCCAAATGGGTCAGATTTCTTACACTCTCGAGTTGATTAAGAGCCCCCCCAATTTGAGTAAACTTGAGATTTGGGTAAGAAATGGCAAATATATGTGGCCATATTCTAGCTAGTGGATATATGCATGATATAATTTGTTTTTGCACTTCATATTTAAATATGAGAATCTAAAAGACCTTGTGTATCCTTATACTATTAGGTCGATACTACCAGTGACACTATTGAAGCAGTTTCGGAGACACAGCAAACTGCTTGAACCAACTACTCAACAAGCTCAAATATGTGGACATACATTTGTTTAAGGGTTCAAAAACTGAACTGTTTTTCGTAAAGTATGAGCATTAACCATGTAAAAGCCTCTGGTTCCAAGGAAGAAAGGAATATTGTCGTATAATTGGCGCGTTTCCCTAGAGCATCTCCCAAGGCAGAGCTATTGTATTTTCCATAGTCGGATTAGGATTTTATGTCAGTCATCTATGATTATTAGAAAGGCTTAATGCTACCTATTGTTCTCAGTGAGTTTTGTCTAAGAAGGAATAAATTAGCAAATTTTGTAAACTATTGGGGTTCCTTTAAATGATAAATTATTTTTTTAATAGTACTTAGTTGTTTTGAAAGTTCAGTCTTTATATGTTTGTGATAAGATTAGTAGTAGTGCCTTAGCTAATGACTTTCATATGCATTTCAGCCTATTTGGTTACCAGGGAAAAGGACTAGACAGCCAAGATTTGAAGGGTACACAAGCCATAATATTTGGATGGGCTCTATAAAATAGTAAAATATACTCTTAATTAAACGAGAGGATTCCCAGCCAATAAGCTAAGATACTTTAGGCGACAAATTTAATGTTACAGGAACTGGGGAATATTCATCTGAATACTTTTTTAAAATATAAGGCTATACCTCTTCCTTGGACTCTTTTTTAAGCTCGTAAGGATCTATTCCCTTTTCACCATTCGAACATAATGTAGAGAAGTGTTTGGAATGAGGTCCAACGCGCTCAAATACATGAACTTCAAGATTATTGACCTCCTCAACATCAATCACACTAGAGTCAACTAAATTTGTATCTTCAATGTCCTTGGCTGACTCTAGTGTTACTTCTTGAACATCGGCATCCTCAAATTCTAGTTGGATAGATTGTTGGTGTTCTACTCTAACCTCCTCCATTAACACCTCAATTTCAGTGTCTAATTCATGCTCTTCTTGACTACTATCCTCAATATTGACTTGTTGAGCATTAAATGCTTCAACTAATTGACTCAATTGTGCCTCCAGGTTGCGAATAGTAGCATCTTGCCTTTCTATCTGCATCTGTCTTTCATCATTTTGTTCCACAAGGTACTTTAGCATATCCTTGATCTCTTTCAGGTTATCATCCCTGGGTTCTTTGTTCCTATTAACTTCAGAAGAAAAAGTAGAACCATCAAAGTAAGGGGTTGGGGAAAGATAAGAAATATAAGCATAGTCATGAAAGTGATCATCTCGACCACCACACATATCACATACATTCCACACATAAGATGGAGTTGGTGCACATAACTCGCTCTCGGGAATATTTAGACAATTTTGACCCACGTGGTTTTCGCCACGATTCACACAAGGAAAATCAACAATAGAATTACTAACATCAAAATTCTCATAATTCCAAGATGCCATGTTTCTCAAATTAACAAGTAAAACAAAAATGAAAATAAAAAATCAAATACAACAAAATAAAATAAAAGTTCAAACTTGTAACCTAGCAATATGTACAGCTATAACTACACTGTTAGTTCCCCGGAAACGGCGCCAAAATTTGATCACGCCCAACTCTAGTCCTAAAAAGGATAAGCGGTCTCTGCAAATATAATCTGGTCTAAAGTCCAGAGTCGAATCTCACAGAGAGCTAAGGTTTCACTCTAACTGTTTAATATCACTCGGAAGACAAGCTCGAACAATTCCTAAGTTATAATATTAAGATTTTTATATATAACTAATTAACTAACAAATTAAAGAAGCAAATTAAAAACTAGGGATACTAAGGGTTGGAGAAAAGATTAGGAGGTCTAGAGTTATGATTTCTCCAATTGTCGGAATCTTTCCCGCTCTATTCCCTACAATTTCGCGTATGTATTTTCTACTGATCGTGAGCACTTTAGGCGTCGTAATTCTCTCTCGAGCAACTACAACAGTTTACTAGACATATTCTCTCGAACTACACTAGTTGACTTTATCTAACCGCTCACTATGACCACGTCAAGGCTTTGTTATTTCAAAACCTACCTTTAAACCCACTCTATTGATTTCTCACATACGTTAGAAGTGACGTTGTTCAACAACCACCTAAATATGTATCCTTTCTCAAGCAACACATAATAAATAGGCACAGTCAATCGATGGTCATTCAATCAACAACAACAAACACGTAGTTGAACAAGTAGATAAATTCAAAGGCTAAATTATATTAAAACCTAACAAGAATTCATCCTACAAAAGGTTCCATCAAAACCCTAGATAACAAATTATCTATTCACAATAGTATGTAAAACTACAATACTAAAAGTCATAACCAACAATGAAGAATAGGAAGATGAAGGAAAAACTCGCAGAAGAATTCTCCGCCTTGCTCCTATTGTGTCTCTGCCTCCTTAGGTCGAATCTGTGTCAAAAGTATGTCCAACCTTAAAGTAGTGTCTCCTCGTCTCAAATTTGTGTTTTAAGATGTATTTATATCACTTAGAGTTGATGAGGGACGGAATTTTTCAATCTAACTTCAGATGGGAGAAGCTGGAATCCGCGTCTGCCTTCGCGTCTAGACGCGGACTTTGACGCAGATCCAGCTTTTGAAATTCTTCCATTTTGCGAAGCTCTCCGTGCCTTTGCTTCGTTTCATTGTTTTGTGTCTTAACTTTTCTCCTTTTTCGCGTCCGACTTCGTGCCACGCACGAGAATAGACGAGCTCCCACTCCTTTAATCTCTTCTTTTTGTGTCGAATTGTCATCTTTTGCTCATTTATCATCCAAACTTGTTCCTACACATAAAAAACACATAATTAATATATTTCACTTCGAAAATCATGTAATCTCCCGCGACCCACACAAGAATTAATATGCAAATATACTTAAAAATATGTACTTTCACCATTTATCACCCACACCCTTGGGATAGGCCTCATAAATATCGGATGGGCCTATTTCTAATAGCTCAAAGTCCAAACTACCAAAAGTCAAGTTGATGTTTTAAGAATTTGATGTCAACAATCCCTGAAGTTGATTAAATAATTGTGAGAAATTCTTCAACTTATACCAAGTAACGAAGGACAAAAAGCTTGATAATATGGCCATACACTTAAAAGATTTTGCTGATTAGTAGCTGGATGGTTATTTGGTGATAAAGGAGGATGTGTCTCTTCAGCCAATTTCTGTACTGATATTTGTAAAATATTGGTAATAATATGCTTGACGAAATTATTAAAGAGTTCAATCGTCTTGACCAGGTCATCAGTATTGAAAGTTATCAAAGACAATTTGACAAACTTAAATGTGTAATGATTTTAATATTAGAGCCTCACTTTGTGTCATGTTTCATTGGGGCCTTAAGCTAGATATTATGCCTCTTGTGCAATTTGTCAGGCCCAAAACTCTGCTTGGGTTACAAATGTGCAAAATTATATGAAAGTTCTTTTAATGCACTTTATTAGCAAATGGACTAATAACTCTCTCACAAAGCTTACCCCAGTCACCCTACTCATAAGCCTATTGTCCCTAATTCTTTGCCAAAAAATCTAACAGTTGTGGACACGGGAATCCAGACCAAAAGAACATGACACTTGAGATGATGAGAGGGAAGAATTTATGCTACCATTGTCACGAGCAATAGCGCCCATGGCATGTTTGCAAAGATCGAGCTATCAACAATATAAAGGCTGAAGAACTCATTGATGCAAATGAAGAGGTGATGAAACCGAAAGGAGAGGCAACCGACACTATGAATATGTTAAATTTACTTTGAACGCGATCTTAGGAAGAAGCAAGTCTCCCTCAACAATTAAGATTATAGGATGGATCAAAGGGCAGAAGGTGGTGATATTAATTGATAGCGTGTTGACCCCCAGGTTACGAAAATTAGCTCAGCCCTTGTAGAACACTTGGGCCAGCCCATACTAGTTAAGGTGGCAAACAGGCATTACCTGAGTTGCAGATAGGTAAGTCCCAATTTAAGTTGGAAAATGCAAGAGCTGAATTTTAAATAAATCTCGGAGTATTAAAGGTTGGTGGTTGTGATATAGTGTTGGGAATGTATTGGGTTGATAATGTGACACCAGGTTTATTACACACTCGTCCATTAAGCATTTCGTTTATATATTATGAGTGAGTGACATTATAAAGCTGTTCAGACGAATCAGAAGTCTCTAATATGGATACCAAGATTATTTCTAGGATATTCACAAAAGGGCTATGTAACTCGTGTCCAAAATATTTTTGATGAGCCTTGAGAAAAAGGAGAATCGATTCCTCATGAGCAAGTATAATGAACCTTCTACTCTTTTCTCGCAACTTTCTCCCAAATACCATATGTACTATCTGTGGCCATGAATGGGAAGACATCCTCCATGTCTTCACAGGCTGCCCGCCTGCCATACATATCTGGCAACATTTGAACATTCCTTTACCATCCCACAACTATGCCCGCTGGCTGGAATGCTTATGTAACAATAATGACTTCTCATACCACAACCTTCCTCTCTCCATCCTTACTCCTTTATCCTTTGGAATATTTGGAAAACTCGTAACCATAATCTTTTCAATCGCACAAACCTACATGTCTCCGCTTATTCTATTATTCTACAAACCTGGGACCCAATGTACCACATATTACATCCACTAAGACCATCCTTGTTCGCTGGCACCCATCACCTCCAGGCTAATACAAACTTTGCATTGATGAGTCTGCTGACCCCACAACCATACTGGCGGCGCAGGTGGGGTTTTCCGTGACTATCATGGCCATTGGATACTTGGTTACTCTAAACAATTATATAGAACTAATGCCCTGCTTGCAGAAATTCAAGCACTATATCATGGATTACAACTAGCAATTACCTATCATCTATTTCCCATCGTGGTGGAAACTGATTCCCAGGCATTACTTTCACTACTAACACAATGCAATTCCAAATACTCTCATATTTTGAATATGGGCAAGTTGATGATCACTGATCTTGATATGCCAAATGTCCAACATACGCTCAGGGAGGGCAATGTAGTGGCGGACGCACTGGCTCATTTTGCCAACAACAAGGCTAGCACACTACATCAAGATGTTATCATTTTTGAGACCCCTCCCCCCTTTACTTTGATGTCACTACTTTCGGACTCTACGGGGACTGCAACTGCAAGTTTCAGTCTCTTCTATGTAACCTTGTTTTCCTAGTATAATAATATAAGCGCTAGTTAGAGATGATATTTTCTATGGAATATATTTTGTTTCTGCGGAATCGCCATGCATGATAGTGTTAACAGACCACATGCTCATACTTGTGGGAGATTTGCATGTATACCCGCTTTTTGGGTCACGTTTTAACTTGTGCTCGCTTTGCAAAAAAAAATTACAAGCATA